ACTCAGAGAGATGAGTCTACCTCTGCCTCCCGTGTGCTGGGATTAAAAATGTGCCACCATGCCTGTCTCCAGACCTCCACTTTTTAATGGGATGGATAAAAACTTGAGACCACACAGCAGAAACACCACCTGAGATACTGAGTTTCAATCTCCGAAACTCCTCTTTCAGAGCCTTCTCAATGAGACAACCGATCCCTCTGCATGGCCATTCCGGGGGAGTGTGAATTTGGGGGAACCAAGTGGTTTCTCTATGCCATCAAGCTCACACATCTCGGCCCAGATGTACCTACAACCTATGAAACTCGAGCTTGGTTGGAATAATGGAATTCTTTGGTCCTTGGTTTTATGAAAGGCAATATTTTCACAATCCTGTCAATGTAGACATTGGAAAATGACTTCAAGCTGGGACTAATGGCACACAACAACAAATTAAATACTAGATGGAAAACTCTACACCCTCTCAATTTCCTGGAGTCAACTTAACCAGCTCCAGCATCAGGCCAGATGTTGGGATGAAACATTGAGGACAACCTAGAGATATGAGAGCTGAAGTTTAACCCTAGGCCTCGGCTCTTTGCACTGACACACACACCAACGCCAATCTCTGGAATAATGGTCGATAAGGTAACTCTGAACACTTAATAATTAAGTTGGACTAAACGCTCATCCATACTGCAGCTCTGAATGAAAGATCCTGTTTCAAGTGTTGGTAAGGAAAATCAGCTGGTGATTACTGAAGTATCACCTACCAAAAGGAACTGTTAATTTACTTTTTGAGAATTAGGTCCAAATCCTAGATGGTTTCATTGAATTCCAAGACCTGCTGAGCCCACTGCAGAAAAGCTCTGTGATTTCTGTGCCACTGAAACAGCCCTGGGAAGGCCAGCTTGGCTGTCAGAGTGCCCTGCCTTTCAAGTACTTCTGTCCTGCTGAACTGTAGACTAGATGGCCTGATGTACACCGATCCCTACAGAGACACCAAGGACACATGGCAATGCTGATGATAGAGCAAAAACCGACTCCAGATTGTCTACACAGTAAGACTCATATGTAAACTTTGTTAGGGTCTCAAGGAGCACGCACCTCAGCCTGCCCTGGATGTTTCCAGGCCTAGGGCCCACACCAGGGTTCGCAACAAACGAAATATCAGCAGCCCTCCCTGTGACCATGTCTAAACCATGTAAATAGAACAAAAGAGGCTCAGAAAACCTGTCCTTGGTCCAATCTTCCGGCCAAAGACATTCACCAAGGAATCCACCTGGTCCCTGCCGCCACCATCTCCACCTCTCTCATCAGATTAGCCATGAGTTAGAGACTGCACAAGCCTACCCACATGGCTTACATGGAGGAAACAACCCGTATTACCCTTTTATTTATTTATTTTTTTGCAACAAGCTTAAGGCTCTGTTCACAAACTCCAACAACTGCCACACAGTGAGAATTTATGGGGCGGGGGGATCTTGAACTATACACATAGCTGTGAAGGGTTATTGAACCTAATGGTAAGGCTTATTCACAAATTCAGTATATTTTCAAATTATATTTCAAACAATTACCTCTAGAAAATCAATCTGCTTTCTTAACAATGTAAGAACAATTTGATTAAAAAAACAGAAAAAGGAAAAAAACAACCACAATAAAACATTGGCACCAAACCAGTATGCAATTTTTTTGAAAGAACAAGTGACATTAATGGAAAAGATTGCCTAAAACGCATATCATAACTTAGCACAGGTAGAAAAGTTCATATTCTGAAAATATATATACTGCATTAAAGTCTGTAAGCACTTCAACCAAAATTTGCTGGAAGAACTAAGCAACACTTATCTACAACAAAAAAAAATATACATGCAAGACCCGCCCCCAAGATATCATCTACAAAGGCAAAGTGTAGATTTTAAAGATTTTACAAAACCATTTACAGAGAATAAAATAAAATACTTAAGAAATCTCACTTCGAGTCTTAAATACTGTGTATATCAGTGAGAGGATCTTAACTAATATATACAACAGATCTAAGCATCTGAGCAGAGAACCAGAAGACACACGTGTCTTCCCTTTAAATATCTACGTGGAAGATTTGCAAATGTTTCTATTTGCTTTGCTTCGTTTAAAAAATTTTCTACAGAAACTAGATTGAAAAATTGTGTGAATGGGACTAAATTCCAAATTAAAAAACAAGTTTACAAACTTTTTAAAAGTTTCTCTTTTTTTTGAAAGGTTTTTAAGTTGTGGAATCCAGCAATTATTAGTAATGGGGATATAATTCAGCACTTGGTCAAGGCTATTTGTAACGCGTGCTTGGTGGATACAGTTACATTGTTGAAAGTGTACTTGTCATTAGCAATTTTCTCATACTGAACTTCATGTGGGGAAAACATTGTCTCAAAGATTCAGTTTTATCTATGCCAAATAAGTATAAGATTTTAAGTCAATTCTCGACTTCCTTCCAAATTTCATAGGTACCAAATTTCATTAATATGAAGAAATTTTGGTGTTTCACCAAGACATTATTTCTAAGCAAAAAGAGGACACCCAGATGAGCATCTGTATTAGGGAGTGGCTTCCCAATGCTAGGGGGTTCTGGCTGGCTTCCTTAATGCTAGCTCTGCGAAGGTCCTCTGGGAACCTTCGTTAGTTCCAGGGGTACCCTGACACCATGGTGGGCATTACCACCATCAAGGTTGGGGCAGAAGGAGAAGAAACATGCCTGAACTCAGAAAAGATACTCTCAACGTCCCACCCACTGCGATTTTTTCCAAACTCAGAAGGAACTGTGTGTTGGATCATCGAGACCATCCACAATTCCTCAAAGACCCCCACAGGCCCTCGGAAGGGATGGATGGGTATGGAAATTGGAGAGAAGGTAGGGAACATGGGTACAGAGCAGATGCTGGGGTACAAGATAAAAGATGAAAGCCTGCATCTTACCTTGAGAAAGCTATAATAACACACAACCATAGACTTGGTAATAGACTTGTGTAATAACACACAACCGTAGACCTGGTAGTTTTCATCCCAGTTCAATTTGCTGTAAGTCACCTGAATTTCAACTATATATTACCCAAACAACTATCCACGAAATGGCAACAACAGTGTTGCAGCAAACAGGTTGATTCAGTTGTGCCCGGTTGGGAGAACTGCCTTATTGAAATGACTTTATGGAAACAATCCAAATACAGACTGTCTTTTGAAACTAACAGTATCAGTTCCGCCTTGGAAACAGTTCCATGTCTACTTTAGTCATCACAGATTCTTGATATTCTCAGAGATTTGGCGCTCACCAGACATCAAAAGATAAAGCACCTATAGTTCTTTCAGCAGGAAATAAAGATGAGCACTGATAAAGGAATTTATAAACGTTCCTTCCATTTCCAATGACAATCTGACCCTGTTTCTCTAGATGTGCGAAGAAACCGCCCAGATCAGAAGCTAATCAGAAACCTGGGGTTTCCTACAGAGAAGGCAGCAACAGTGAAATTCTTTGACACACTTGAAGAACAAGGGCTGTCTAAGGTTTGGGGAAGTGTACATGAGGCTAACCCAATGGACAAGGGACAACAGACATCCGGGAAGAATCAGGTGTTCCCCTGTGTTAGTTTCTCCAGCCCCCAGGTACACAGTTTCTACAGCACTCTACAGGGACACCAGGGGGCTACACAAGGCTTCAATTCCATCTTCCTTCCAATTCCCTTCAATCTCCTCATGGCTCAAGGTGGCACAGGTTGGCCGAAAATAGGGAAGTACAATTTCCTCTCCTCCTCAACCCTTGGGAGCCCTAAAGGCTTTCTACAGAGGGAATAAAGGTTGTCATAAGGATTCCAAGGTCAGATGCACACGGAAGCTAGCACATCACTGGTTTTCATGTAGACACTCAGCAGTGTCACTCAAAGCTCAGTGCAATGTGACTCTCTCTGCTGTGGTGCCAGAGGCAGCCACCCCTCTGCAGGACACAGAGGGACCAGAAAGAGAGTGAGAGCCTGTGGCCCCGATGCGCCCTCTTTGCAGCTCGTCTCCCCTCCACCAACCATACCAGCTCTTTCTGCTGTACCGCACTGTCTCAAGGAATGAGACAGAGAGAGGTTGGAAATTAGGAGGTAATGAAGAGAAAGGACAGGGGTCAAGGCTCTGGCATAATCCAGGCATGCGGAAAGCCTAACTTTCTCTGGGCACATGATCTCTACAGAACACGTTTGAATCCCCAGATAGAACAGGCCCCTTCCATTTCTCTCCTCCAATCCTGATGTTCATACTTTTATCTTTCATCCAACCCAAGCCCAAACTCCCCACTGGCAACAGATCTAGAGGCTTTAATCAAACACAGCTGCTAGAGGCCTCCTGCAGCCCAAGGGCACTGGACGAGGAGACCTCCATGCCAGATACTGCTCTTCTACATGGGTCAACAGCTAGAAAACAGAGATGCTTAGCTCAGGCTTCTGGAGGCAAAAAGACCCTACAGATAGCTCTGCAGGCCAGGAACTCTTCCTCGCCACCCCAGAAGGTCACCACCCACATGGGAGCAATGGGCTCTGAAATCCAAGTTCACTCATTTGTCCCAGAGGACAAAGGTCTGAGTCTAGGGAATTATACCATCTTCAAGGTGGGTCTGTTCCCTATCTTTTCCTAACATGACACAGTTAGGGAAGGAGTCTTCTCGAGATCATTGGGGGCTAAATGAATCCTTGATCTCCTTAAAGACAGTGGGTAAAAGAGAACATACCACTCTGATTTCTCTAAAGAACTAGCATTGTGTTACGAAAGCTACACGCAAAGGGTATTCCTTTTAATCCACAGAAATCCTTCCATTCTGATCTCTGAACTTTCCTTCTGTGTGGCTCATCACTAGAATGCACCAAACGGCATGAACCTTGAATAGTATTTGGTCCAGGGCAGTATGAAAATAAGATCTGTGTGAACAACAGATTTCATAATATATAAACAAAAATAAATAAATAAAATAAGTCCGAATAAAGAGAAAAAAAATTTCCTAGTAGTTCATGTTTTTGCAAAACTAGCTTTACATATAATACACATAAATTATCAGAATTTCCACTTACATTGTTTTAAAAATATATATTTAACAAAACATTTCTAAATGTACAATATCTGGGTTTGTAAATCACTCAGTTGGGTTTTAAGACCAAGCCCTAAGAATCACACAGAGTTGCATTGGAGAGGAGACTGAGGCCGGGCCCACACAGTCACGTGCTTGTTGGTCTGTGAATTCCCTAAGAGGATTGTCTCCTGGTCCCAGATCTACACTTAATCAGAGAGCCATGTTGGTCTCATCTCCAAGTCGGAGGCACTGTGTAGACACAGCCTGAGTCGGAAGGACGAGGGAGAGTGGTCTTCCCTTCCTGGACCACGGTGGTGCTGGGTTTCAGCAAGTGGGAAAAGGATGGTGGGGCCTGGCAGAGCCCTGGGAAGACAGCCCTGGAGAGCTCTGCGGCCAGGTGGGGCAGGGACGTGGGGAGGCCAAGGACGCAGCATTTCCCACTGTTACACGAAATCAAACCAATGAGGAGCAACCAAAGGACACAAGGAATGGACACAACCCTAGGTGTAAAGAGACACCCAACAAACTCTTGGCCGGGGTGAACCCTGGGCTCCAATGTTGGGAACACAGGGCCGAGCTGGAAGTCAGGTACCCTTTGAGCGTGGGGTCAAGTGAGCCAGGGCCCTCAGACTTCATAGATCTTGTCCTGCAGGTAGCTGAACAGGGAGTCCAGGCCTTTGGACGAGCTCCACAGCTGCTTCAGCATGACACACTCCTTCTCATTCACGTCCTCCAACACCGACCTCAGGAAGCTTCGGACCAGGCATTTGGACTCCTCTAAAACCTGGAAGGAAGTGCACACGCCTGGTTAGCCAGCCTGGGGCTGGGCTCACTCTCTGTGGCCTTGCAGTGCCCACAGCCAGGGGAGAGAGGGCATCTTGAACCTGGGCTTGGGGTCAGTTTACTAGCACTGGCCAGAATGGCTTCCAGGTGGTCAAGATATTGAAGCCTCTGCCCATAGGATGGCTGGGGCATGGCATGGTACCCCACGCCAGAGGGGTCTCATCTTTTATCCAAGGGTGACGTGACATAAAACTAGTTAGTGCTCTCTCTCTCTCTCTCTCTCTCTCTCTCTCTCTCTCTCTCTCTCTCTCTCTCTCTCTCTCTCTCTCTCTCTCTCTCTCTCTCTCTCTGTATGTGTATGTGTGTGTGTATTTGTATGTGTGTGCATGTTCCTCAATTACTCCACATATTTTCTGAGACAGAGTCTCTCATTGAATCTGAAGCTTACAGACTGGGCAGACTGGCTGGCCAGCAGGCTCTAGGAATCTGCCCGTCACTGGACCCCTCACGCTGATACACCAGCTTTCTCATATGGGTTCTGGGGTGTCAAACTCAGGTCTTTGTGACTGTGTGGTAAACACTTTACCAACGGAGCCATGTCCACAACTCCTTGGAGCCATTTTCTATGGATGTCATGACAGCGTTTACAAGATATTGTTTTGACCTCCCCATACCACGCATCTGTCGGGAAAAAGAACACTTGGCCCAAGGATGACTGGGAACAGAAAATGAAGTACTAAACTGAGCTAGCAGTGGCTGTCAAAGCATCCCCACGGCCCACCTGACAGATATGCCTCTTTTACATTAGAAACAACAGTAGTGGTGATAACAGTAGAGATCACATCACGGTAGTATTAGATAACAATAATTGTAGCTGGCATTATCACAACAATCATTAAAATCAATAGTCATGGTGATGAATAATAATTACATGAATTATCATAATAAATAATATTGACCCAATCATATTAATGGACTTCAGCAAGCACAACAACAATTGTAGTAATGAGCAATAATGATCATGTACCAAGTACTAGTAACTATAGTATTAATAATAACCCCATCATGACCATCATGAACAGGCTCCACAGAAGTATTTTCCTGATTTCTTTCACTTAATCCTCTTAACTGAAGATAGGTCATATTTTTATATACCGTTATAGAGGAAGGACCTTGAAAAGGTCCAGGGCTTGATGGTTCAACAAGAAATCTGAGCCTGACTGATCCCCAGAGCCACATGTCTCCTTCCATCGGCCTCCACCAGCTTCCACGTAGGTCAAGGCTCTACTGTTCCAGGCACTTTCAGATAAAAGCAAACGGGGAACCCCAGACGCCTGAAGCCTGGAAGGATGAACACTGCATGGTCCTGAAGGCTCTAAGCACCTCTCAGCCTAGACTTGCTGTCTCCTATGAGCACCACATTCCAGAGGCTGTGGGCTTCAACCTGCTGGAGATCTGTCTCCCAGGAAGTCATTCCAAAGCTCCTGGGTCTGTATTCATTTCTATGTAGCGTTTCTCCAGAGTGGGCCTCTCCTAGGGGCTGGTCCCATCAGGTGTCCTTTCTATAGCTTCTTCACCCTGGTGCCTTCCTTTGCCCACAGAGTACAGACCATACATCTCACTGCAGTGCAGGTCTGCCTCCCAGCAGTCTCTGGGCAAACTGGCCACATTACTGTCTAGACTGACTATTGACTCCCTGACTCCCTCCTCACATATGCTAGCTGTCTCCTCTGATTGAACGCTATCCCCTCCTTCTCTATGAAACTGGCTCTGGGGTAATCAAGCATGCCTATTTGCATGAAGCGTGGGGTTTCCTGGGATGCAACATCTTTAGAGTTTAAAAGGGGAGGGTCTCAAACAAAGAGTCAGTCACCCTGATCAGTTAAAAGTGAATATATAAAAACATCAAGGCATGTGGCTCATGAGTGATGTGTCCACCAGCAGGGAGACCGTCACTACCCTGGCTGTCGGCACTGCTGTTAGGGTGTACACAGTTGGTGCTCAATAAAGGGCTGATGAGGAGAGGATGAGTAGGTGCTCATGTCGATAGAAGGACAGTTGGGGGGATACTGACAGAGGGAGTAGGGTGAAGGTCAATGGGTATGGCCCACAGGTCCAGCCCAGCACTTTTGTTCCTGTAAGGTCAAGAATGCAGGACCTTATCCTCCAGTGCCTGTGTCTCAGTTCGGTGACTGGCCCTGGCCTCCCGGTGTGGCCCTTTTTCACCCTCCCCGCAGCACAGTCCCCTCTGGTGCTCAGAATCTCTGTCTTGAGATAAAATCAACACTTAATTAAACCTGCCGCCTCTGACAGTGTTACTCATCTGTTCGTCAGTGCATCTTTGGGGTCAAAAAGTGGCATTTAGATGTGCCAAGCACTAGGTTGGGGAGAAGGAGGAGATCACAGGGGCAGTGCGCTTGGTGTCTCACCCAGGGCTGGTTCTAGACCTTGACCTCGCTCGTCCTGGGATTCCCCTTTCTGTGGCAGCTGTAGGGTTTTGAGCTTTGTGGGTGCTCAGGATTTCCCTCAGAGCAGTGCTTGCTACCCCAGAGTACCAATGTCCCCCATTAGCCTTTTCCAGCTGAGCACAGAGTGGAACATGCAACATGCCCAGATGTAGGCTCTCAGTCCCGAGAGGCAGTGTTGTCTAATACTGAAGAAGCCTTTCACTGACTCTGCATCACCTCTGGGGGTTGAGGGGAGGGCTCAGTTGCTAAAGTGCCTACCATGCAAGCATGAGGACTTGCGTCTGATCCCTTAGAGACCATGCAAAATGCCAGGCATGGTAGCATGCACTTACAATGCTAGTGCTGGGGTTGCAGAGATAGGAGGTTTCCTGGGGCTGGCTGGCCACCCACTCTAGACAAATTGGCAAGCTCTGGGTTTAGTGAGAGCCCCTGCCTCGAAAGATAAGATGGAAACCAACAGAGGAAGACACTCCTAGTTGACCTCAGAACTCCAAATACACACACACACACACACACACATACACACACACATATATGCACACATACACACACACACCACACACACACACATATACACACCACACATACACACACACAAACACATACACACATACACATACATACACACACACACACACAGAGACACACAGACACACAGACACACACACACGCACACCATCTATTCACAAGGACAGCACAGGGACAACATAAAGACTCACCACAGCACTGCAGGATGCCATCTCCTTCACCCGCAGCATGACCTCCTGGCTGAACGTCGTGGGCCAGAAGACCTGGGACACCAGGCCCCTGCTGCATGCCTCCTGGGCAGTGAGCTTCCGCCCACAGAACAGCATTTCATTGGCCTGAAAGAGCAAAGGCAGAAGATGGCTGAAGCCCGGAGCTCCGCCTATGTCCCCAAGGGAGCCCTGGGCTGGCCAGGTATGACTGTCTCCGCTCTCGATGCAGGGTTCACAATCCAGGGTCAGATACACTGCACGAACTGCATGCCAAGATCTGTCCTGTCACAGCTTTCATTAATCTGACAAAAAGGAGCCAATGTTTACTGAGCCCTGTGTACCCAATAGCGATCCCGCATCAGGTGGCTGGCCCTTGGGTGGCTGTGCACTACCAGTTGGGTTCATCTCAGTGATGATGCCCTGGCCTGACTGAAGGGGTGATTTACCTACATATGAAAGCTCTCCAACTACAGATGAGCCAAGCTCTTCCTGTCTGAGTCAGGCTAATGTCAGTGAGCCCAAGGGACAACTACGGCCAACTACAGCCCGTTCTAAAGTCAGTCCGTGAGGAAAGGAGGGAAAGAGGGAGGTAAGCTCTTAGAGGGCTCATTGAGCTTATTAAGCTAATTAAAGGTGGATTCTGGATTCTAGAGTTTGTCTTATTGCTGTGATAAAATAGTCTCACCAAAACCATCTTGGGGAGGAGAGGGTTTATTCGCCTTACACTTCCACATCACCGTCTGTGCTGGATAACTTTAGTGTCAACTTGACACACCTGGGTGGAGGGAGCCTCAATTGGGGAATTACCTCTCTTGGACTGGCCTGTGGCCATGTCTGAGGGGCATCTTCTTGATGAATGATGTAGGAGGGCCCAGCCCACTGTGGGTGGTGCCATCCCTAGGCAGGTGGGCCTGTGTTGCATAAGAAAGCAGGCTGAGGAGGGGTCAGGGGACCAAGCCAGTAAGCAGCGATCCTCCATGGCCTGTGCTCCAGCCCCTGCCTCCAGGTTCCTGCCCTGAGTTCCTACCTTGAGCTCCCTGATGAACTATGACCCGGGAGATGTAAGATAAATAAACCCTTTCCTCCTCAAGTTGATATTGGTCAGAGTGTTTCATCATAGCAATGTCTACAAGACTAGGACACCATCCAACTTCCAAGGAAGCCAAGGAACGAACTCAGGACAGAAGTGTGGAGTCAGGAAGCATGGTCCATGGAGGAACCCTGTCTAGGTTTCCTCCTCTGGCCTGTCATCAGCCTGTTTCCTTACACAACCCAGGCAAGCCCACCTGCCCAGGGGTAGCACCACCCACAGTGGGCTGGGCCTTTCCCACAGCACTCAAGGATACAAAAAAAAAAAAAGCCTCACAGACATGGCCACATGTCAGTCCAATAGAGGAAATTCCCAATTGAAGTTCTCTCTTCCCAGGTCTATCAAGTTGACCACTGAAGCATCCAGCACACTTAGCAACCTCAGGACTATTAAAACCAATGTACAGAAGCATCTCCCAGTGACCCCAGGCTAGCCAAAGACACTGAGCAGTTACAGGGTGGAAAACACCCTCCTTGGCTGGCCTTATCTAGGCTGCCTCTAAGCCCCACTCCTCTAAGGATTTCCCTCTGCTGTGAAACTTGTGGTTGTCATACACAGGGCTATAGTTTAAATGCTTGTCTCCCACCTGGATGCTCTTGGGAAGCAGTGAAGAGGTGGGACTTGGTGGAAGGTTTTAGACCACTGGAGGCAAGGCACACACTTGAAGGAGACTATGGAACCCTGGTGTCTTTCCTCCTCTGCTTCCTTCCCCTCCCCCACCCCTCCACAAACACAACAGAAGGACAAAACTCAGTCAAGAACACATCTCCATCAACTCATTTTAGTTTCAGAAAAGACTGAAGATAAAACCAGACAGTTAAACATTATTGTGGCCACAGAGAACAGGGAGAAACTGGTGTGAACAGGAGCCCACAGCTGGTGTTGGAGGTCAAGTGTTCACTCCCAGTGAGGCTGAGAGCCACCTGAGATGTCCCACAGTGCTTGAGTCCACATGACTTCCAGATCCCATCTGCTGGCCTGCTCCATAGACGTGGAGCCTAAATCAGGCCAGGCCGGGGAACTTGTCACTGGGAACAGAACGCCATCTTTCAGGCCCTCAAAGGAAGCTGGGAGGGCCTGGGGCAAAGTGGCAAGTGGCCATATCTGTGCTCATGCTCACACCTTGGTAGGTGTGAGGCACTCAGGGCCCCTGAATACATGGGAGGGCTTCCCAGTCATCTCTAACAACGTTCCTTCAGCGCCCTCTTTGAAGAGAGAACATCAACGCTAGCTACAAGCCCAAGAAAAGAGCTTCTTGGATGGCTGGTGAGGTCACAGCATCACTGATGAAGACACAAAAATGAGCAAAAGAGACCCACTCTAGAGCTAAGACAATCTCAAGATTGACAGAGTTTGATCCCCAACACAGGCTCTAGGTACGTCACTTATCCTTAAGGTTTCAGTTCGCTCCTCCACCCTGGAAATACCACGATAGCCTATGGCTTTGAGGTACCAGCACAGAAGCTGGATTAACGGCGGTGCTGCTGGAACAGCGGCCAGTTGTGGTGGAGGGGTGATGAAGGATATTGTTTTTATTGCTGCTTTTGAAAGAAGAAAGGAAAAACTCTAAAACAGAAGGGGTACCGCTTGTCAGCCACTCACTGTGAAAACCGAGGAAGGCCTGAACCCCCACTATGGAATCGAGGGGAGAGAGGAACACACACGGAGAGAAGGAAGAAAGTCTAAAAGTGGAAAGCCTCTGCTCCTCCCTCTGACTTCTGCCCAGCGATTCCAGAGCGCCTGGCTGGCTGGAAGCCATCACCGTTCTCCAGTGTGCGGGCCAGCCTTCCGACAACTGTGGCTCACTGACAGGCAGATATTTAATAACTACCCTGCATAGAACCGAAAAGTACAAAGACAAAACCTGAGGCCCATCTGCAAACAGGAACAGCTCGCAAACGACTTGCACAACAGCAGAAGGAGGGATGAACTCTCCAGAGCACTGGACAGTGGGCCCCACCATGGAGCTACGGGGCTGGCCCTGCCACTCAGGTCCTGTTGCTCCGGCAGGGTGTGGGCCCCAGGGGTGCCTCCGGTGGTCCCCAGGCCGACCTTGTGGAGCCTGAACTGCACTGAAATCCCAACACTTTCCCCACTGGCCACAGTCCACGGTCCTGGTCAGCCTGTCTATCCATCTACACCACCTTCTCCCCACCCTCCTAATGCCCACCACCTCGAATTCCAAGGCCTGTATAGCTCACCCCCTGATCAGTCCTTCTATTGTGTCCCCTCTGCCTGGAACCTGATGTCACATTCCAAGGTTACTCCTCAGAGGGGCTCTTCCTGTGTAAGATGGGATCACCACCAACTACTAAGCTGGAGCACAGAGTCCCAGACTACAAGACCCATGTCCCTGTCTACCTGAGCTCCTGGCAGGTCACAGAGTGCTCAACACTCTGGATTCTCAAAGAGGACTTAGAAGGGCTCACTGGCTCTCCTATAGCAGGAGGAACCTTCCTGAGATCCTGACCAGCCGTGAGAGCTGAGGACAGAGTCTGCTGACATCAGCAAAGGATGGTCTGAGCACCTACAGGTGGGAAGTCAGCTGACAAAGGATGCAGCATTAAGTCAACTCCAACACCCACTAGATTTCGCCTGACTTTCTAAAGCCCGACTCTGCTAACCTCAGACTCACTGCTGAGATGTCACTCTATTCTACCACAGGCTGGGCAGACAGAATCATGGATGTCTAAACCTCACAATCATCAGTGCATTCTACGGACTTATTTTATTGTGTGTCTATGTGTGTTCATGTGTGAGTTCCAGTGTCTGGGGATGAGCTCTGGTGGTGTTCCTCATTTGTTTTTTGAGACAGGGTCTCTCACTGGTCTAGAACTCATCAAGTAGGTTAGGCTGGCTAGTCAGTGGACCCTAAAGATCCAGTTGTTGCTGTCACCCCAGTGTTGGGATTACAAGCATATGCCACCATGCCCAGATTTTACAATGTGGGTTCTGGGGCTTGAACTCAGGTCCTCATGCTTGTGAGATAAGTACTTTACTCACTGAGCTAACCCTATCACCCACTGTTGCACAGCTCCCTTACCCTCTCTGAGCCTCAGGTGCCACACATATTCACTGGGAATCACTATCTTCCTCACAGGGCTGTGTAAAGCCCCAGCACACAGTGAGTGCCTTCAGTATCCTCTGGTCACCACTACATGCCTTGACTTGGTCTGACCACAGCCTACAGTGGACTCCATGGCCTCCCTGGCCTCCCAGCTTAATGATGAAACAATTGCTTAGATTTCCTGGCTTTCATGTTCCATCTGCAGGATGGAAATCTCCACAACTTTCAAAGGGGTGGAGACAGCTTGGGATCATTCAAATCCTTTCCCTCTTCTTGCCTGGATGCCCAGCTGGATTGCGCTTCCTGCCTTCCATACCCCATGAGTCCTGGCTAGTGATGTGTGCATGAAGGGAGGATGGTGAGCCTGATCTACAGGAACCTCTGGGGTGGTTCCCTCTGTTCTCGCTTCTCTTACATCACTGGATGAGAAGTCACAGGGTCAGTGTAGACAGCTCTTGTACCTATGGTGGGCTGTTGGTTAAACACCCAGCTCTCTCAAAGGAAGGAGCACTCTGCATGGTGCAGGGAATATAGCAGACGCTCAGTAAGTAAACATCATCAGGCTAGAGAGATGGCTCAGTGCTTAAGAGCACTGGCTGTTCCTGTGGAGGGTTCAATTCCCAGCATCCACATGGTGGCTAACAACCATCAGTAACTCCAGTCCCAGGGGATCCAACACTCACTTCTGAGCTCCTCAGGCATTGCACAACACAGATGCACTTACACACATGCAGGTAATACACTCATACACATAAAATAAAAAAATATTTTTGAAAAAGTAAACATCATCAGGCTAGAGAGATGGCTCAGTGCTTAAGAGCACTGGCTGTTCCTGTGGAGGGTTCAATTCCCACCCTCCCCATGGTGGCTAACAACCATCAGGAACTCCAGTCCCAGGGGATCCAACACTCACTTCTGAGCTCCTCAGGCATTGCACAACACAGATGCACTTACACACATGCAGGTAATACACTCATACACATAAAATAAAAAAATATTTTTGAAAAAGTAAACATCATCATTAACCTCTCATCTCAGCTATTCCATCAGACACCAATAGCTCCAACCTTGAGACCAGCCTGACTTCAGTCCCAGCAATTCTGAACAGCCAGGGATACCAGGACAGATTCCAGAGGCTTATAAGACCCTCCCAGGTTTCATCCATAAGAAACTGCTAGATTCTAATCCCAGGACAGGGAAAGGTCCTGCCGAGGCCCAAACACTCACATCCCAGACTGGGAGGTGCTGTGGGAAATAGGAGGCTTACCAGTGCCACACCCAGGATCTGGGGAAAGGTGTACGAGGAACAGCCTGCGGGCGTGAGGCGGATGGTGGCATATGGTGTCTGAAACCAGGCCTTCTCGCTGGCCCACACGATGTCACAGAGAGGCAGAATGGAGGCACCCAGGCCCAGTGCTGGCCCGTTGATGGCCACCACGATGGGCTTCTTAAACTGGATAAAGGCCTTCACGAAGTCCCTGGAGGAGAGAGAAGACCCTCTTTTACTGGTGGCCTGAGTTTGAGGAGCCCCTCTGCATGCTTCTGATTCTCCCAGGTACCATGGCACACAACTTGGTCATTAGAAGCAAGTGAAGGCCAGTCAGGGGCCGCACGGCCTAGATACAGAACTGCAGAGCTGCCAGAGTCTCAGAGGGAATGAGCGGGGTTGCGACATGTGCTTCTTGGCCTAGTTCATGTGTGATACCCCAACTCTGCTCCTGACTCTCATTTTTCTTCTACTCTCAAAAACCACGACTTGGGCAGTGAATTCCACAGGTGTCCTAGATACTGACAAAGCTGAATGCATTAAAGGAAGGGAACAGGAATTTTTTAAAAAATATTTTATTTATTTTTATTTCATGTGTATGAGCATATTGCCTGCATTTATGTAAGTGCACCCCTGTCATGCAATGCCTGAGGAAGTCAGAAGAGGATGTTGGAAGTCAGAAGAGGATGTTGGATCCCCTAGAACTGGAGTTAAGGATGGATGTTAGCCACCCTGTGGGTGCTAGGATTTGAACCTGGGTCCCCTGCAAGAGCAGCCAGCGCTCTTAACCACTGAACCATATTTCCAGCCCCTGACAACTGTTATTTTATAACTCTAAACCAGACCCAAAAGAAAGGTGCTCCTCAGAGGCAATTTCATCTCAAAGGCATCAACCACCAAGACAGAACTGGTGACTTGGGAGACATAAGTTCTTTGTTCTTGGATGAATTCCATTTTTGGCTTGATGATCCCTTTGGTTGAGGCTGGAGATGAAATTCAAGCTTCAGATAGTGGATGTGGGTAGGGACGTGTTGACATCTAAGGCTTCTTTCAATCCTGGGATGACATAGTTCTGAAGGTGCTGCTGAGGGTTGTGTTAGGAAGGCCTTATCTGAATCTGGGGAAGGATGCTGGGCTTCCCTTGGGGTTTAGCCTTCTGGAATCAAGTCTAGGCAATAGGGCAATGCTTCTTCTGCCTGACAACGCTGCACTGATCGAGGTTCTAGCATCTTTACCTATGAAGAAGGCCCCCAGAAACGACTTTGCCTTTGAATGCTTTTTTTTGTCTTTCCTCTACTTGTTATGCAAAATCTATAACATTTGAATATCTATCTGGGCATGAAGAAAAGATCCAAGATGTCTAGTGAACCCAGCAATAATTAGTATTCTCAGATGAGAGACTGAAAACTACCAAGTTACAGAAACAGACTCCAATGCCCATGACCTTGGTCGGCCCTCGCTTAAGTCTTTTGCATCACTCTTGATCCTCAATGTGCCTGTCCACAGGCCTCTAAGAGGGCGTAGAAAGGTCACTATCATAATGTGTAATTACCCGATTACTTGTTTGCTTGTTTTTGAATCCTTCTTCTCCTTTAGCCCCTAAGGACACTCACAAACTTGCCTGTGGCCCTGCTTGGCTTCTAACAATATTGAAATTAGCACTCCGAAAATAACTGCTGAAAAATATACACTAGTCTCCCAGAAGGGGAGTAAAGACTGCAGCTGTGCACCAAACCTATCTCCCCTTCCCTCTTCTTCCTAGATCTTCTAATGGACCACATTTCCCAGTCTTCCTTGTGGCTGACTGTGGCCCAGTCACAATAGCTGGCCAATGGAATGTGAGTCAAAGTTACACACACCATTTCCAGATACACACAGCCCCGCATCATGAAGCCCTCTAAGCCCTGCCCTCTAAATGAATAAGACCGTCTGGGAGGACTTTGGGGTATACAGGATGGAAGGGTCTGGGCTCCTAAGGCACTGTTTAGAGGACAGCCATGGGTGGATGGTACATCTATTCAAGTTTCCATATACAGGGAATAAATGTCCAGCCCAGTTGAGCCATTATCTATAACTGTGGTTTGCTTGTTACAGCAACTAATGCTTAACTAATACACATGTAGAGCTCATTTAATCCCTTCTCAGTTGATACTATTCTGCTAAGCCCTTGAGATTTATGTAAGTCATTGGGAGAGTATCAGCTTTGACCCAAGCTCTGGTATCACATTTGCCTGAGATGGTGAATTCACCATAGTCACTGTTGGCCCCACTGTACCAAACATCCCGGAAGACACCGCTTTAAAGAGAAAATTCTGGTGGTATTGCTTTCCGGTGCTTGGTTTTTCAGTGGTCATCTCCTGCTTTCCTTCCTAACCTCATGGTTTGATTTTAGGTTAGGTCACTGTCTTGTTTTTGGCCAATGTAATTTGAGTCTGTGGGGGTTCTGGGACTTTCATGGAAGTTCTTGGGAACCCAAAGTTCTGGGTGATTTTCCTTCGATGTCTCATTTCTGAGAACCTTCATACAATTCCAAAATCTAGGATCTGAGACTTGGGAAGGACTTTCAGACTCCTCAAACACACCTTCCTCCTGACACAGACATCCCTCTAAAGATACTGAGGGCATCAGTACAGCCCCCTTGACACAGAAAGCCCATGGTTATCAAGTCAGCCTCTATGCTGTGGGTCTTAGGTGGACCTTTCTGATGCCCTCATATCTCAGCTCTGTCATCCACACGACAACCCTTCAGGAATCTACTGCAGGCCTCACCCCTTACAGAGCCTTCCCCTTTAAGACTCAGAGCCTTTTGCTCTATGGTTTCCAACCTGAGCTCTGTGCAAGGGCAGCAGGGATCCTCCCCGCCAGCCATTTGTTTCATTGTTTGATGTAAATGTGATGTCCATACAACCCTTCTCACCTCAGGCAGCAGATCCCTATCATAGGGGCCCTGATGATGCACAAGTCAGACAGCAAACAGGATATTGCATTACAGACCTGCGGCTCAGATATCTGATCTCACAGCAGTGCAGTGGTGGGCTAGGGTAAGACAACTTCTCTCTGTCTTCTCCAGTGTCCAAGGCTGTAAGAACAACCCTGGCCTTTGCAGAGCCCTGTGTCTACAGTCTGACCGGGTAGCCCAGTTGCTCTGAAGTGGCAGAGAAGATGGGAACTTCAGAGTCTGACAGAATCAAATCTTAGCTCTGCCCCTCACTAATGGTCAGACCTTGGGCAAGTTGTCTGGTCTCTGGATCCACATTTATCTCCCTCTGTAAAATAGAAAGGCCAGCACTGGCTCCCCATAGAGATGAGTGAGAATTAACGGGACTAGCACATGCTTGGCACATGGGGAACACTGGAACAGGCTGCTATGATCAGGGCTGTGTGTCTGTCCACAGTTCTCATCTGATTCAAGGTGGTCTGTGTTCCATTCTCCAAGCTCAGAGAAGACTCAAAGCAAAATGCTACTATATGGCTGCAGACATCTTGGTTTTATGTAGAGAAACTGTCATTTCTTTTGTGACCCAACTGCCCATTCCCTTTAACCAGAATCAGGAGGGCCAGAGTCACCTCTAGGACCTGTGAGTACCACACACACATGGTGGCTATCACCTGGGGCCCCAGATGACTCTCCCGGAACCTACTTCACCACCAGGTTTAGTTTAACAGCCTGTGGCCAGAAACAGAAACAGAAATAACAGTCACAACTACAAAGGCATTCTTCTTCTTCTTCTCTGTGTGTGTGTTATGTGTGTATTACATGTGAACATGGGAAGCCAGAGGTCAATCTCAAGTGTCATTCCTCAGGTCACTGTTCACCTTGCTTTTTGAAACAGGGTCTCTCACTGGCCCGGAACTTACCAAGCAGGCTAGGCTTGGGGCAGCAAGCCTAGGAATCCACCATCTCTGCCTCCTGGGGATTACCAGTGCATACCACTGGCACAACATCCTGATTTTCTGTTTATTTGTTTTTGTCTTTTGACAGCCCCAGCTAGCCTGGAATTCACTACATAGACCTGGTTGGGGGGCATCAGATCCCCTGGAACCGGACTTACGGATCATTGTTAGCTGCCTGGGTGCTGGGTTTTAAACCCAGGTCTTCTTTAAGAGCAGTCAGTGCTCTTAATTGCTAAGCATCTCTCTAGCACCCAAGGTCATGAAGTTTTATGCCTATTGTAAGCACTTAACATGTCCTGGAGTAGCCTGTGTGGGATGTTTATATGATCTTCCCCGACCCCAATCCTAGCAATCCCCCATCAGAGACTGGAACTAAGGTGCTGATGACTCCCATTTTCTAGATGAGCCGCTAGGTTAGTGAGAGGAGCTGTGTGCGTAATGCTGCAACACCAGCCCATACAGAGGTGGGTGTGGCCCTCCCTGAACACCCTGCTGTACACAGCATTGCATCACCTGTACACAGAACAAGTGAGGACACCCATCCCTCAGGATGGTCCTGATACAGGCTGATGAACCACCTGAGGTTTCCCCACATCTGCTGGTTCCCTCATCTGACATCTGCACAAGGGAAGTGGAGCCCCAGTCCTGTGTGTGTTCTTTAGGCAAGGATGGGCTGGGTAGGGGAATATGGGTCGGGGAGATACTGGGTCAGGTGGTCGCCTAGAAGATCACAGCAAGGGATGTCTTCAGGTTACATGGAGATCAGGGATGCATGTTTCTAGGTCGAAAAGACACTCATCCCTGATGGATTATGAGTGTTCTTTCACAAGGAGACCATTTGGCCCATGAATATGTCCATATACCTGGGGAGTCTACAGAAGTGGAGGCAGGACTTGTGGCAGGAACCAAACTCCCCCTCACAGTGCACTTGACTCAGGCACATCTCTAGAAGTCCACAGAACACTCTGAAACATGCACTGCAAGGCCATGCATCCAACTTTAAAGAGTGGACTCCAAAGGAGCAGTCCAAAGTTATGGGAACAGGAGGCTTCTCACTTCTGATGGGTGAGGCTGGGCTTCTGACCTGAGGGCCCTCTTGTCTGTGTGGCCACTTTGTGGCTTTGTTTACCCTTTTATGAGCTCTTGCCCTTTTGACATCTTGATCCTGCCTCCTACATCTTCTAACCACTTTTTCTCTCCTGAATAAGGGTTTTCCTGATGCTCTCAATCCATAATGCTCTCAGTCCACCAGGGAGAAACCTCCTGTTTGACCTAAGCTAGGAATTCTCTTCCCTGGCCACACTTTGAAACCATGATTGACTTTAAACATGTAGACATGCTACCCTATCACAGACAAGCTCTTGGGTCCTCCCAGGACACAGCCAGGCACCCGGGCTTAGGAAATACTCCTTCCTTCTGTCTCCGCATGCTGTCTCCGCATGCTGTCAGGTCTATGAGTCACTGATGCAGGGGATAACCCTTTCCCACTCCTGTGTCTGCCTCTTCCAGCAACTTCCACTCCCTTGAAGGCATCAGGAAGAAGTCCCTCTCTCTGCTCACCTTCCCTTCTTGTTGGGCATTCTTGTCTACTGAGGAGGCATTTGCCTGAGTTTCCCAGGCTGTGTGTCTCCAGGGGCGACACTGAAGCCTTTGGCATCTTCTCATGCCCCTTTCCCTGCTTTGGAGTGCCCTGGTTTGCTCAGCTGGGAATGTCAGAAGCTAGTCTGGGCCTCAGGCCCCAGCTACATTTCCTCCAGGTTCTCATGGGTAATAGCTTCATCCATGTCTGGCCCACACATCTCTCCCTTGATTGGGTTCTCAAGACTCTAGAGGCTATGGACTGTTACTCTTAGGACCCAACAAGTAGAGGCCACAGGGGATGGGAGAAAAGGTCTCAACTCAGCTTTGATAGATCTGAAACCTGGAGGCAGGGGCAGGCCATGGAAATGCTGTTTTCCCTCTAGAGGCTATGGACTGTTACTCTTAGGACCCAACAAGTAGAGGCCACAGCTTTGACAGATCTGAAACCTGGAGGCAGGGGCAGGCCATGGAAATGCTGTTTTCATTGGAGAGGCCAGCAGTGAAAGGCTGAAGGGATGAATGTGAAGTGGGGATCCATTTCTGTTCCAGGTCACTTCCCATGGTGACTAAGCTGCAAGTCCTTATTCTTAGTACCCTGGCACTGTCTCTACTCCTCCTAAGCCTACAACTGACCCAGAGCATCACCTACCAGAACCTGTCAGAGATGATCTGGCCATGGTCCCTACCCAACAGATACTAAGTCACCCACAGTTACCTACTCCAGGAGTGGCTTTTGGGATGTTAGGATAAAAGTTGGGATGGACCTGGTCTGAGAGAAGATTCCAGAAAGATTGTTGATGCTTTCCTTCAGGGCTATAGTATCTTCCTGGGGCTTCAGCAACATGGATCACAAAGTATGACTCAAAACACCAAGAACTTATTCTGGAGAACATAAATCCAAAGTCCAGGCACTGGCAGGGCTGGCTCCCTCGGGGGACACTGAAGCAAAAGCTGCCCAGGCCTCTTCTCAGTGGCTGGTGGTGTCACCCATCCTGGGTGCTCCCTGCCTGGCAGCTACCTCACTCCAGTCTCTGTCTCCACATCACATCCCCATTTCTTATCTTTACACCTAGCGTCATATCATAACCCATCTCATAAAGGCGGCTCTCAGATTTAAAGCCCTTCTAATCTAGGATCTCAGGATCCTGAAATTCATCACAATGAGATTCTTTTTCCAAATAAAGTCACCTTCATAGGTTGTACAGATTTGGAGGCGCACATATCTTTTGGGGACAAAAGGTCTGTGTGTTGATGAGCTGCGTCTGCACAAAGCAGAAACCCAGGATCTAACAGGTCTCCTTGGGCTGGAAATGCCACAAGTGCTTCCACTGATATTAATAAACCAGAAGGAGACTGTGAGCAAGACTTCCTAAGGGTGCAGATGGTGCTCTGGTCCTGGGGTGTCCTCTGGTGGCCCCATCGATGAGGACACTGCTGCTTCCTCCAACTTGGGAAAAGCAGGTGTTGAAAAGATACAGTTGGTCCCACGTGGAGATCGAACCACCTGGCCATGGCCAGGACTGGGCTGCACTCAGCAAACAGGAGTGGTCGAAAACCTCCACTCTCTCTGTAACTGTCCAGGCTTTTTAGGTCCCTTCTGGGGAGAATTCTGCCACAGGAAGCCCATAGGTGTTTGTAAGCAAAGCACCCAGGGAAACTTCACCCAAAGTCAGACTCAGAATTCACACAAAGGAGTCTCTTGGAGACATGCATCCTCCTAAGCCTCCAATGGCCATGCGGGGATCGATCTCTGAAGCGATTCAGTCACAGAGCAGAGACTAGAGCTCCTGAAGAATCCCCAGTGTGCAGCTTGAGGCTCTGAGACACTGTGTGGAGTAAGTATTCATGGTCCTGAGGCCAATGAGAGGGATTCAGCAGAGTCCTCTGTCTGTTCCCCAGAGATAGTCATAAAGGGCAGCAGGTATGACTGTCTCAGAGTGGCTGCCTGAGCGACTGGTGTCAATCAGCTAAGTGGTCTGGCTGAAGATTTCACTCACTGGCTTTTGCTACCTCTATGAAGAACTGGGAAGGGCTAGAGAGATGGCTTAGTTGGTAAAAGTGCTAACCCAGCAAGCATGAAGACCTGACTTGGATTCCCAGAATCCATATAAAAGCAAGCTGGGTGGCAGGCAATTGCTCATACACAGAAAATAAAAATAAACAGATCTTAATTTTTTAAAAAGTTGGGCTGGATGGCATACATTTGTAATTCCAGCACTGGGGAGACAGAGACAGGCTGGGGCTTGCTGCTCAGACAGCTTAGCCTACTTGGCAAGTTTCAGACCAGCAAGAGATTCTGCCTCAAAAAACAAGGTGGTACCTGAGGAACAACCCCTGGGGTTGTCCTCTGGTTTGCACATGTCCACACATGTCCACATATACCCATGCATACACACATGTACCTGTACACAAAAACACACACAAATAAACAGGGAGACAAATATCCTACATGCCCAAATGGGTACTGAGAGTTGGACCATATGTTACCCTCAGCACTCCCACCTTTGCTCAGCATGCAGGGGGTATGACACCCCACCCCACTGGTATCCCCAGCTGTCTGTCAGGGTATCCCCAGCTGTCCTCCTCCTAGTCAGTCCCTGAGTCACACCACTTCCAGGACACAGAAATATCCACACAATCAAATACCCCATCATCAGGCCGAACACAGGAGTAGAATGCATAAATACATGGGCATTGCATTCTTTTATCAAAAGAAGAAAAGCAGGATATAGCCTAGGGAGCAAAGCATGCCATTAGGGTTGTAGCAAAAGTCCAAGCTGGCCAACAGAAATCACACTCAGAGACGGAGATACAGCTCAATGGCAGAGCCTTTGCCTAGAATGTATAAGGCCCTAGGTTGGATCCCCAGCATTGGAAAACAATCAGATTTCAGATAAACAGCCAATATTTTAAAAATATAGGTATGACCTAAATGTTGCTAGGCATGTACTTATGCTAAAAATAAAACTCCTTGTTGAAATTTAAGTTTAACAGAGCAGTCGGTGCTTCCATCTGCTAAACTTGGTTATCTTTGGCAGGCCTCCCCAAAGTGTCTAAAGAGAAGCTGGGCTCACCTGATGGCTTCTGCGATCCGTGTGCTCTCCTTCCGTCGGTCACTGGACAACCGACCAATCAGGTAGGAATAGTCCAGGCCACTGCAGAACACGCTGCCCACAGCGCTGAGCAGCAGTAACTTGCTATCGTCTGTGGCCGCATTGCACAGTGCTCGTCGGACCTCCTTCATGATCTGAGGGCAGAAGTGCATTTGCAGAGCTGTGAGTGCCTATCCTGCAAGCCAAGGACTTTCAGACCATATGCCAGATGAACTCCTTAGGACAGAGTCAGCAAATGTGCATCTGCCTGGGCAGAAAACATCCCTGAAGGAAAGCACATGTCCAGCACCAGGAGGGAGACCTTACAAACCAAAGCCTCCCAGCATCATCACAGATGTAATCAGAACAACTAACCAGGAGGCCCTGTGGTCAGTGGCTTAGACCCAGGGGCCTGATGAGGTGGTCAGTCCCTATGAGCCTGTGCAAATCTCCCAGTATTTGGTGGCTGAGCCCCTTACAAGGTGTGGGAAAAGATCCTGTATATAGGTCAAGTGGGCTACTAAGCCCCTTTGGATGACTCAGCTAAATTTTACTCTTGTTCTATAAGCCCCGGATCCTTGCAGGGCTTATTGGTGGCCCATGGTGAGAGGGCTTTGGCACCATAACCGAACCAACCTCTAACTCTACCATGTACTATCCATGGGACCAGCTCCTTGCCTAGAAGTAGGGGTCATGACACCCACATTCAAGGTCTACAGTGAAGAATAAATAAAGGGACAGGAGATGCTGTGGCCACCTGGAGGCTCACATTCCTAGGAGGGATAGTGAATTCTAGATAAAGGATATCCTTGTTCCTCTACCTCATCCATTAAAGGGGACACTGTACTTGTCATATGAGAGCTTAAAACCCCAGGACTGCTCTATACCTGAATGTGAAGATCTGAGTTATCATACCACAAAGGAGACAAATCTCCAGAAGGGGCTGCAGAGGTGGCTCCGCAGTAAAGCGGTGCCTTCTGCCTGAATTTGGTTCCCAGTGCCCACATCAGCTTACAAGTGCCTGTAACTCCAGCTCCAGGGACTCCAACGCCCTCTTCTGGCCCCTGAGGGGACTGCACTCATGTGTACAAACCCACACTCAGACACACATGCATATATATAACTGAAAATAAAATCTTAAAAAAGAAAATTAACTAAGGTGGGAATTGGGCCTGGGCTAGTGACATCCCTGAGGCATTTCAAGAAAATGAATGTAGAAACACCTTGGAGAGAGACTGAAACTTAAACTACATGAGAATACTGCACAGGAAAATAATCCCTGCTACAGATGAGCTCACAACCAAAAATTACAAGACACTTGAAAAATAAATTAATAAACCAGTACACTCAAAAAATGGGAGGGTTACATAACAACTTCGAGTCACGGTGGTCTAAAAGAGACTATGACATTAAAAAATGTTTAAGATAGGGGCTGGAGAGATGCTCAGTGGTTAAGAGCACTGGTTGCTCCTGCAGAGGACCCAGGTTTGGTTCCCAGCACCCACATGTCCGCTAACAACTGTCCATAACTCCAGTTCCGGGAGATTCGATGCTCTCTTCTGACCTCTGCAGGCACTGCATGACACTAGTGCAGTTACACACATGTAGGCAACACTCATACACATAAAGAATAAATAAAATATTTTTAAATGTTAATAACAAAAGCAAGGCATGGCAGTGTGTGGAAAATGAAGACCAGAGAATGAAAACCATAGATTTAAAGGAGGAAAAGTCCTCATCATGAACAGCAGCGTCACAAACAGATTAAAAGTGGCTGAAAGGAGAAGCCGCAGACTGGACGATCTGGAGCAACTGCCCTGAGTCTAGAATCAAAACATGGACAGCATGAGAGACGGGCAAAAGGTAAGTCAAGGGGTTTAGAACAGACGGTGCGGGCATTGTCTCCAGATGTCACAGAGAACAGGGAGAGGCAGTGTCTGAGATAGACAATAAGAATTTACGGAGCCAGGTCGTATCCCAGCCTGCAAGCCTTAAGGGAGAAGACATTTCCCTCCCATTTCCAGGTCTCTGCACGCCCAGCTCCTGGTCCTGTGCTCCACCTTCAAAACCAGCAATGGTCAGCCAAGTCTTCTCACTGTTCACTCTGTGTCTCTCAGACCACCTCTGTCTTCTGCACTAAAGACCCCACAATGACACTGGGACCATGGAGACCTTCCAGAACACTCTCTTCATCTCAAAGTCAGCTGAGGAGCAACCTTCACTCCTAAAAACTTAATCCTTGCACACATAACATAATCTTGGGTTCTAGGATTAAGACATGAAGATCTTTGGGGACAAGGTATCAGTTTGCCTAACAAAGGCCTTCATTTGAACAGCTCTCACAAAAGCCACATTTAAAGCAAAGACAGAGGCAAAGGCAAACCTTTGACTAGAGGCAAACTTCTAAACAGGACACACACACACACACACACACACACACACACACACAAACAGGGGAAGGTAACAGAATATAACGGTCAAGGTGCTGAGAAAACATGTCAGACAAATTCTTCACCATCTAAATTACCATTCAAAGGCAAGGGAAAAATTAAGTTTGTCACTCTTATGACCCTGAAAACAAAATTAAAACAGCATGGACTTCAAGCAGAAGACAAGCGAACATGTCAGACAAATTCTTCACCATCTAAATTACCATTCAAAGGCAAGGGTAAAAATAAAGTTTGTCACTCTTATGACCCTGAAAACAAAATTTAAACAGCATGGACTTCAAGCAGAAGACAAGTGTATTTGGAAAGACTTATGGGTAAAGCAAGGACACCTCAGAGTGGTGAAGACGGTGCCCAAAGCTACCACATTAAGAACAGAGAAAGTTCCAAACTGACACCCACAACCTTTCACTTTCTCCTACTCCATCCTGTAGGTTGACACGGGTGAATCGATGCATGATGATGGAGAAGCCAGGGCTGCTGTCAATCTGAGCCAAAATCCTGCGGACCCAAGTCAGCCATGTGAGCTAGTACTCCCTAACACAGTGCCAGCCACAGCTGTTCAAACTGACCACCAGAAAGGAGGAATGGCACCTTCTTGCAGGTCCTTTAATCCATCTGCCTCCCCGAACGAACACCCATAAATGAACTTTGCTTCTCTGATGGATGAATGAAGAGAAACTCTACTGTAAAGAAAGGAGCTGCAGTTCCTGGCTAACCTTAAATTGTCAATGGATTGTAGCTGGCTCATCAGCTACCCTACCAGTGACTTGGGAAGAAATAAATAGCCTAAGCCTGGAGCTAGGCCTGGTGGTACAGAGAGAAGGCTCACAAGTTCATGGGTAAGTTCAAGGGCAGCCTGAGAAACTTAGACCATACCTCAAAATAAAAATAACAGCAACATCAAAAAGGAGGAATGGGCTACTGAGATGGTGTTCTAGTTAGCTTTTCTGTTACTGTCCTAAAACTCTGACCAACACCAACTTGAGGAAGAAAGGGTTTATTGCATCTTACACTTCCAAGGACAATCCATCTTTGAGGAAAGTCAGGCAGGAACTGAAGCACAGACCCTGGAGGAATGCTGCATACTGGCTTGCTCCTCTGGCCTGTGCTCAACATGCATGCTTGCTTGTTTGCTTTTTCCTTTTATTCTTTTTCCTTTTTTGAGACAGGGTCTCCCTGTAGCCCCAGCTGGCCTGGACCTCACTATGTATATCAGGCTAGCCTCATCTGCCTCTGCCTCCTGAGTGCTGGGATTAAAGGCATGTACCACCATGCACAGCTCAGCCTTCTTTCTTTTTTAAAATATTTTATTTATTATTTTTATTTTATGTGTATGCATGTATTGCCTGCATGTAGGTAAGTGCACCCATGTCGTGCAATGCCCGCGGAGGATAGAAGAGGCTGTCGGATCCCCTGGAACTGGAGTTACGGACAGTTGTTAGCTGCCATGTGGGTGCTGGGATTCAAACCCAGGTCTTCTGCAAGAACGACCAGTGTTCTTAACCACTGAGCCATCTCTCCAGCCCAAGTTCCTCCATGGTTTCTGACCTCAGGCTCCTGCTTGTAGTTCCTGCTCTGACATCCCTTCGTGATGAACTGTGACCTAGAAATGCAATAAACCTTTTCCTCCCCTAAGCTGCTTTGTTCTGAGTGTTTCATCACAGCAACAGAAAGAACGCCACAGGTCCTGACAGTGATGCCAGTTGAGGCCTCAGGCACTGGAGGTATCAGGAGCCGGCAGAGGGTTGGGCCCCTCTTCCAACAGGCGTGTGAACAAGCTTTGAACTGTGAAGCCTGGTTTGCTGCCACTTTCCTGAGGGGCTCTCTCCTGTTTCTGTACTATGTTCCTAACAAGAAAAATATCACAACACAGCCCCGGCCTCAGAGCTAATGCATCTAGTCACATATGGATTTTTTTTTATCTATGTGGCCATTCCATCCAACTAGGAAAAGTTCAACTGTCACTGTGAAAGGGCGCCGTCCGGCCCCTCTGCTAACAAGCGAAGTGGGCCTGCTGGTGACTAGGCACAGCCTCTGTTTCAGCCTAACAACAGTAGGAATACTTACTTTTAAAAGAGCCCTTGGGTGGCAGATGCTCCGACTAGGCACAGCCTCTGTTTCAGCCTAACAACAGTAGGAATACTTACTTTTGAGCCCTTGGGTGGCAGATGCTCTTGAGTGTCCACAAGGAATAGGTTATGTCACTTCTGTAAACAGGTGGCTCAGAGGCAGAATAATTTCCCCAGGTAACAGAAGTGGGCACGGATTGGAATCCAGGTTGCTAGACTCCAAAATCTGCATTCCTTCCACAATACCATCTCTTTATTTCAAGATTATTGTACCAGGTCACTAGCTCACTTTCTTGGTCAGTCCGCCGAAATTATTAGATCCATAACTCCTCCTCATCCTCCCATTCTGTAACAGACTGATGCAGACCAGGAGTGCAGTCCCTTGTGAACCAAGCCTGGGGCTTGACAGGTGAGCTCCCAGGAGCACAATTTGACTTCCAGACTAAGTGGGAACTAGTAACCAGTGACCACACACAGCAGCCCTACAGAGGCCAAATGAACTGGGAGGTGCCCCCACTGTGCCTTTTCTAAAGTACGCTTCTAAAAGATAGTGAAATTTTAAAAACGGAAGAAGAATTAGTCTCGTGTGGATATGTCATGATGAGCTTAAAATAACAAGGGTTCCAGGTGTGTGCGCACACACACAAGGAGCCGCCTGTGAGGGAGCCGATGCTCCAGACTCCTGCAGAGAACCCCATGGTGCTTCTGCCCTAGGTAGGGGAGGAGGGTCCTTCAGACCCAGAACGCCATGTTAGAGGAGGGGCAACAGGAAACGCCAGCCTCATAAACCCCAAAGGCACCTGCCTGCTTTTCCCTCATAATCTGTGAATCACTCCAGGCTGTCAAACCTACAACAGCTTGAAAGAGCCATTGTACAAATCATATAAGATATGTGGTTACAAGTTCAAGGGCATAGCACCCCCCTTCCTCCTCCACTTCGGGAGTCTCCCTGAGGGTACCAGATGCACCAGGGAATGTCTGGCCATCCTATCAATGCCTGTGCCTCTCAAGACATGTGGCTAACCCTCCACCCTTCCAGCGCTATTATGCACAGGCAAGCTCAGGGATTTATAAGAACAGGAGAAGGAGATCTGGAATCTCCCTTCCCACATTCCTTTACCTCAGGTGTCAGCGCGTTGTTATCTGAAGTCTGGCTGGACAGCAGAATGTGCGTGAACCCCTCTTCCTTCCGCACAACGATGTCTCGAAACCGACAGTTGCTCTCATTCTGTCGGACGCTGTACCTGAGCCTCTTGTCAAAGACATAGTCTTTCTCCGCCTCCAGCTTCCTCTTCACAGAGCTGTGCAGGTTTAGGCCCCCGTTGGTCAGAGCAGAGCCTTTGAGAAGAAGCAGGTAAACACAGTGAGAAACTCACTGCACCACCACAAGACAGAGAAGTTATTACTGAGAACAGTATTACCACTGACCTCTATCCAGCCCGTATCACGGGCTGAGCATCACCCTCCAACGCCTGTAGGCACACCATCCACTCAATGTAGAGATGAAGTAAGGCCCTGGGAGACCAGTGCTTAACTTCAGATGGTAAGGACCTGAGAAGGAGCTGGAGGTGGGGCCCTGGGAGACCAGTGCTTATTTGCAGACCATGAGGACCAAGCAAGCAGGGTCCTTGTGGCCCTCATCTCCTTTCCCAAACAATACATTTTTATATCTTATATATTAGCATTCACAAATGACCAGAGAGTGCTAAAGAGAAATGTGAAGACTCATAATAAAATGGTCCAGTCCCAACAATGCTGCCCAACATCTGTCCCCCCAACCCCGTGAATGGCATCATCAGCTCCTGTATGCTCCAAAGCAAGCATGCTTATGTCTATGCTCCAAACCACTATTCAAAACAGAGCTGGGAAAAAGCTCAAGCAGATACACTTCCTAGCCAAGGAAGGAAGAAAAGTGGATGATACAAATTACCAATATTAGAAATGAAAGATGAGCCATCACCATTGATCCTAAGAATGGTAAGTGGGTAATAAAAAAACTCTATGCAGTTTTCTGCTCTTTATGGCTTAGAAGAATGGACCAATTCTCTGGAAAACACGACCTTCCGAAATACACACATAAGGAAACCTATCATCTGAACAGGCCTTTATCTATTCAGTAAGCAGAATCAATAATTAGTTATCTTCTGAAAGAGGAGGCATGAGCCGCATCTGGTGGCATACACCTGTAATCGCAGCATTCGGGAGACTAAGACAAACTCAAGGCAAGCCAGGGCTATGTAGCAAAAGCCCATCTCAAAATGCAAAGAAGAATGTTCCAGGCCTGTGGTAATATTATTATACAGAAGAAATAGCACCGACTCTCCATAATCAGAAAACAGAATCAGAGGAGCTCTTCCTAATGTTCCATGAAGCCAGCATCGCCCCAAACTGAAGCCAAATAAAAGTACCATAGACAAAAGACACGCTGGACCACTTGGCATATCATGAACATGGGTGCAAAAGTCTTTGATGAAATATGAGCCAATCAAGGCCAGCAATATATAAAAAGGATTATATGAGCTGGGTGTGGTGGCGCACACCTTTAATCCCAGCACTCAGGAGGCAGAGGCAGGCAGATCTCTGTGAGTTCAAGGCCAGTCTGGTCTACATGGTGAGTTCCAGGACAGCTGGGGCTACAGGGGGGCCCTGTCTCAAAAAAAAAAAAAAAAAAAAAAAGGATTATATGGTATGAACAGGTATGTGGAGCTGGTTGAATATTTGAAAATAAATCAGTGTAGTCCATTACAGGTGTAGGATAAAGAGAAAAAAAAACAAACATATCCATTGATACACAAAAAGCATCTGACAAAATCCCACAGAAGGCCGTGTGGTTCCCTTAAAAAGGACAATCAACAAAATTTCCAGGGTTAACATCAGACCTAACTGTGAAAAACTGGATGTCTCCCCCTTAACACCCAAGTAAGGAAAGGGTCTTTCCTGTGCCACTTGATCCTGGAAGCCCCTGTTAGTGTGTGTCTTAGTTTGTTTCTTCATTGCTGTGACAAAACACTCTGACCAATACCAACTTGGAGAGGAAAGGGTTTATTCAGCTTACAACTCCCAGGTCAAAGTTCATCAGGGAGCCCAATGTAGGAACTCAGGGCAGGAACCTGGAGGCAGGAGTTGAAGCATAGGCCATGGAGGAACGCTGCTTACTCCTGCTCAGCCTGCTTTCTTATGCAACACAGCCCACCTGCCCAGGGGTGGCACCACCCACAGTGGGCTGGGCCCTCCCACATCACTCATCAAGAAGATGCCCCTCAGACATGGCCACAGGCCAGTCCAATAGAGGCAATTCCCCGATTGAGGCTCCCTCAACCCAGGAGAGTCAAGTTGACACTAAAGCTATCCAGCACAGTGTGCGACAAGAAAAGGAAATAAAAATTATAGACATTGAAAGGAAAGGGGTAAATGACTGCCATTTACAGATGACAAGTTTGGTTAGACAGAAAGTACCAATGAATGAATGAGCAAATTCAGCAAGGTGGCAGGAGACCAGGTCAATACACCAGTCAGTTGCTGTCCCAGGTTCTAGTGATGAACAAATGAAATTTGGCATTTAAAAAAGTACTATTTACAGAAGCACCCAAAATACAAAATACATATAACTCTAATAATGTATGTATAGGATCTGTATGTGGAACACTACAGAGCCCCAATGCAAGAAGTCAAAGATGTTCTAACTAAATAGAGAATTACACTGCATTCATAAACGGGACCATTTGATGCTTGCAAGATGTCCATCTTCCAAATCTGATCCTCTAATTTGATGTAATCCCAGTAAGATCTTCTGAACATAGTTTTAAACCAGGCCTAAACTTTCTTTAGGAAGGAAGAGATCTAGAACAGCCCAAACAATAAAAACAAAATTGGAGCTCCCCCACTACCCAGTTCTGAGACTCAATATAAAGACACAGTAATACAGATACTGTAGGGACAGTGAAGGATGGAGGCGTGGATCAGTGGGAGAGAATGGAGAAGACAGAGACATACCCTTACAAATATGTGCAATGATCTACACACACACACACACACACACACACGCTCAGAATGGATCACTGGCCTAAATGTAAAATGAAAAAAACTGTAAAACTTCTAGGAAGTAACCAGATAAAACCTGGGAGCCTTGGATTTTGACAGTAAAGTTTTCGATTTGGCATTAAAAAAAAAATCAAGCTGCACAAAATTTAAAACAAAAAAAAGGTAAGTTGCCATGATTAAAATTAGAAGCTTGTGGGGCTAGAGATATTCAACAGTTAAAAGTACTTGCCACTCTAGCAGAGAACCCAGGATCAGTTCCCAGAACCCATGCTGAGAAGCTTACAACTGCTTGTAATTTCAGTTCCAGGGCCTCTGAGGTCCTCTCCTGGATTCTGTGGACAACTGCACACAAGTGATACACACACTAACAGGTAGGCATACACACATAATGTAAAATCCTTAGCTATGAGGGAAATGCAAATTAATACTACCTTGAGATTTCATCTTGCTCTGGTCAGAACGACTAAGATAAAAAATAGATATTATGACAAATGCCTGCGTGGGTGTGGGGAAAGGGGAACACTTATTCACTGCTGGTGGGAGTGCAAACTGGTGTAGTCATTATGGAAATCAGTGTGGAGGCTTTTTAAAAGCTAGAAATAGATCTCCCATATGATACGGCTATACCACTCCTGGGCATGTACCCAAAGGACTCTGTATCCTACTACAGAGATACCTGTTCATCCATGTTCATAGCTGCCCTATTCACAAGAGCCAGGAATTGGAAACAACCTAGATGTCTATCAGTTGATGAGTGGGTGATGAAAATGTGGCACACTGACAGAGTGGAATATTATTCAGCTATTAAGAAAACCCAAACTATGAAATACACAGGTAAGTAGGCGTTCGGAACTGGACACAATCATTCTGCAAGCAGTAACCCAGACCCACCCAGAAAGTCAAACAGTGGATGTTAGCTTTGAATCTTTACATGCGATTGTTTCATTCAGAATACCTGCATTAGTCAGGAAATTAGTAAGGGGCCATGAAGGAGGGGCTTTAAGGGAGGGAAGATGGAATGCAGTGGTGTAAAGAGGCAAAGAGAAATAATAGGACAGGAAGCATTAAATGGGGTGGGAGATGGGAGGACAGGGTAGAGGAGGGAGTCAGGGAGGGACAGCAAACACTAAGACCTTTTGAAAACAGTCATGCAGAAATCTACTGTAGAAACTTCCTAAAAAACATAATACCCATATATTAAAAGATTTAAATGAAGTTGCACTATAAGAGCATGACAAAGCCCTCACTAGATATCACAAGCTAACAAGTAAAGAGCCCAGTTCTAGGAACAGGTCAACAACTTTAGGAGTTGTTGACCAATGAAGTCCCCTAGACCCCTAAACATTACAGGCTACTGCCAGTGGTGTTGGATGCCCTCAAGAACTTCATGGTAAGTCACTGCTGAAGGTATGAGTCATAGAACATGGAGAAATGAAGCAGGTGCTGACCTGGAGGCTTCATCCCTACTGGCCAGCTCTCACAGTGCTGGAAGGGGCTATACAAGTTACTAAAGGGAAAAGTAGTCATCAGCCTTCCCCAGATGTAGCCCTGTGAGCTACAATTACAACTGGCCTGGCAAGATATGCCCATGGGTGCAGCAGTGGCAAGGATGTCATGAGAGTAACAAACACTTCAAACACTTTTTGATTGGATTTAAGGCCTGGTCCCTAAGGTCTGTTTAAGTTTGTTATGATATATAAAGAATGAGACAAAAATAATATATACATAATCTTAAAATGTCTATGGTCATAGTTTAGTCAATTAGTTTAAAGAACAAAATGTATATATAGTCAAAGTTTATCTGAGAATATTTGGGTTTTTTACATAACACATAACATATCTACATAACACATGATAATTAAAAGTACCAGACTGGAGGAACTAACCTTACTGGATGTTTAACAGCCATAGTTTGAGGCCTATACTAATGTGGTCAGAGGGACTTAAAGGACAGTTTTTGCCCCTTGCCCTCCAAGGTTGACTAAGTTCCAGGGGACTATGGAACATCTCTCAAAATGTCCTGTAACTGTGGTGAGTCACCTGTCCTCTTGTTCAGGGAGGCCATGGAGAACCCACAAGATGGTCTTGAACCAGTGTCTAGTCTACAAAGAGGAGGGTCAACTCAGAGGAAACATCTCAATCATGCTTCCAAGTGAAGCCAGACATGGTCATGCAGGACCTTTGACTTATCTTCACACAGATAGAACTGGTCCTGGTCTACATAGTGAGTTCAGGTTAGCGGGGACTACAGGGAGACCCTGTCTCAAAAAGACCCCAAAAAAAAAAACTTATTTAGA